TATAACCAGTGACGTGTTGTGGGTTTGCAGTTCACATATCCCTGTGCCCGAGATGTAAATCGAAAAAGGTCAGTAGGCCAACGTCTGTTTAAACTACCCTGTTCTCAGTTTAGTTGGTGACTCATAAACATCGTCAAAAAAAGATATGTTTTGAGAGTCACATGAATAGCATGACATTAACTTCAAAGTTCGCCCTAGAAAACATTGAAATAACCAGTTGGGTTTGCTCATTTTGTGGAAAGACTGCTTGTCCGTCAGTAATAAAGAAGTCATTTTTAAATTTAGAAGTCCATGGGTTGACTTTTAGAGTCACACATGAGAAAGGTATTCGCAATTGTGATTCAGATCAACATACCGAATTTTTAACTTCGGTACTGTAGTAAAATATCATTCCATATTAGATTAATTTATTTGATATGGCAAACAGTGATACAGTATTATTTACTGGAGGACGTTTTGAGCAGGCAATAACGCTTATAGTCATGTCAACTGATTTCTTCTAAAATTTCTGCTCAGAATTTCATTTAGTAAGTAATACTCTATCAGTGTGTGCTGTACTGAGTAAACGGATCTAATATGAAAAAACCCACATAACTTAGTCTCAACCAACGGGGTTATTTGCCTTTATAACAGTCGTCCTCAAATTATGATGTCTGTTACTTCTTAGTGTTTACATTGAAAAAGTTGTACTAATGGGTTCGTGTCATATTGCAATGAAGACATCTACGTAAGACATTAGATTAGTGTTGAGTTAAAGATCAGGAACACAATCAAGACAATAAGGTTTGAAGACGAGTAAATTCTAATGAGGTTGAGACTGCAATCGGGTAACCTGTTGTTCTTCAACTTCACAGAGAAACGAAAAAAATCACTTGGTGTCCATCCTAAAAAAGAACGGTTACCATGAAACTTCATCAGGAGATGCGTCCCACGTTCATCACTTAGTACAAAGTCGTCTGCAGAAATCATCAAACGGGTCATTCTACCATAGATAAAGAATATATCAGAGATCACAACAAGACTACTAGGACCGCCTGGAACTGCTGTGGCTCATAATCCAACAAAGTCCCTTCAGACCATATCATGCAAACCAAAGGACACATCAGCCACGGAAGACAAACCAAATATCATTTACAAAATCAACTGCAACAGTTGCGATCACCACTACGTTGGACAAAATGGTCGCCCTGTTCGCCTTCGTGTACACAAATACCAGTTGGCTATTAAACGTCACGACGTTTCATTTCTTATGCAATGCACGTGGATGTGGATTCAACTTCGAGAATATAGAAAACTTGGAAAGAGGAAACACAAACAATATCAAAAAATTCCTAGGAATTCAGCATTCAGGTCAGTCAGCGATCAATAGATGTATAGACACAGACCCAATCTATCAACCAATAAGAAAAAGGCTAAGCAATACAAGGTCAGAGGTCAGGCAGAAAAACAAACAACAGGAAAATCTATACAGTCAAAGTTACAACATCAAAGAAAACAAACAATTACAAATTACTTCGTCAAGACAAGGTTTTAAATCAATCGCGGAGAGATATTGACAGCTCACTTCATAGTGAAGTTAGTGCTAAGGATGGTTTTTAGAAGGAAAAGATGAAAGCTTCTGATTAACTGACAGACAAAATAAATGTAGAACTTCGCACACAGGTGCATCACTTCAAGTTGCCATAGTAGTACACGAAGAAAAGGTGGATAGAAAAAGAGTAATATCAAAGTAGATAAAGTAGTGTGAAAGAATAAGCAATTTGAAGATAAAGGATAGTGAGAATATTCAAGCTTTAGAAGACGTCAGGGAGTAAATACAACTGCGCCATTGTAACCATGTTACCAAGAGTCCTTAACCACTGATTCCTTTCATATAGAGGTCCACACCACGCAGTCTACACCTGCCTCATACGATTCAGACCAACAGTAAGAGACTTCATCGACTGGTATCATGTTTTGGGTGTGGCTACCCTGAACCCTCTTCCAACCTAATTTAACTTCCTCCAGCATGGCACGTCGAGTTACGCGTTGGCTCGGCATACGTCGTACATCTACAAGCCATCTCATTCGTTAAAGGTTCACAACCTGATCGATTGACTTGCCTGTCTTGCCTGGTACCCTTCTCCTGATATTAACATCCCACCAAACGCGACGAATGAATGAAGACATCTGTGATCAAAACCCTGTAACCCCCTCATATCTTCTAATTCAAAAGTCATGTTTCAGCCGTGTAAAATGACAGAACGAACTGCAGTGCAGTATTTTTGTCCTTTGATAGATAGTCGGTAATCTCGCCGGCACCGCAGGTGATGCATTTGCAAATGCCAAACGAGGCCTCTGTATCCGAGTTGGGATTGCGTCAGCAACGAGGGTGATGCAACTTCCCAAGTAAGTCAAGTGGTCGACTTATTTCAACACTTCATTCGCTTCACGATTAAACTATTTAGCTCAGTGAACAAAACATAACTAAGATTGATTCTAACACAAAATGTCTTGTTGTGGGAATGAGTTTAGTCAATGCAACTTTAAGGCTGAACCAGAACTACATCTGTTTTCGATAGCCTGTGGATTTATCTCTACCCGCAGTAGAGGAGTAGTAAATTTCTAAGTAAAAAACGAGGCCTCAAAGTTCTGTCACTTCATCATTATGACTTTTAGGGATACCTATTACCAAATTACGATTCTGTGAACAATGCTTCATCTTCTAACTGTACTATTACCAATTAAGCATCAAGTATTCTGACAGCAAAGAGCGAAATATGAAAGATAACTTTATTGTAACCAAGGACAGTTGAGATGAGTAAACGCATGACGGGACGTTGTAAACTCAAGTGTACAGGAAGAACACACACAGACCAGATTTCAAACTATAACGGCAGTCATCTTAGAGTTCATAAGAAACATTGCATGAAAAATACTATTCTTAAGAGCCAAACACATTTTAGCATGGAGCCACTACAAAAAAGCAGGAGAAGTATTTGTGCAAATGTTCAAAGTCAGTGAGTATCCACTTAACTTTATCAAAACCTGTTTACCAGCAGAGCAGAAGATAACGTAGTTTTCTCACATCAATAGGCATATTACTCTATCCTACATCAAAGATGTCTCAAAAACTGTCAACTGATTGCTTTGTCCGTTTGGGATTGGAGTAGCACATAAACCAATGAAGTCACTACGGAGCATATTATGAAAGCTGAGGGATCAGTTGCCAAAGGGAGATAGGAAAAATATAATCTATGAGATCACCTGCAAAGATTGTTCACAGTACTACGTTTACTAGACTAGCCGTCGGCAATATGAACGACAGGAGTAAAACCAACATTATCTAGATGGAGGTTCTTCATTTCCTCTAGCTGATTGGTGAAAAAACTCTTTGGAGACAGTTGTTTGGATTCTATACAAAGTCGAGCTAATATTTACACTTCCTTCACTGATCATGTGCAAAAGTTACTGAAGACTAACTATCAATCAGCTACACGCTTGGACGATCATAGAATGTAAATTTATAGTCGTTAACTCTTGATCTAAACTGTGTAAGAAACTATAGGCTTCTTGCTTAGCGTTTATGAAAATTGGTAGTTAGATACTTGAAAAAATGAAAAAATAGTTGGCTGTTCAAGCCCACACATATCAATAACTTTACATTCCTCCTGATAATTTTATCAGTTCCCATCTTTTATCCAATTCCCTTGTTCCTTGAATATTTCTAATCCGTGAAGTATTATATAACCGATTTCATTCCTTGATATTTCTTGTCATATACTTTCCACTGTGCTGATACTAACTGCGGAGAACTGACCCAATGCAAAATTGTATCTGGTTAAACATTTTTTCAACCAAGTGGATCGTTGACTGATATGGGTGTCAAAGTTATTGAAACATAATTCCAAAAAAGATCAGCTTATTGCTTGTACCGAATGTTTCCAAAAGCTGATTGAATATTCGACTTATTTTCGAAAAGGCAGTATCATCAGATCTCGTCTATGAAATATTTATATTGTCCTGAATTCCCTAGAAACATGCATCATCCTAGAAGCCTTTAGCTCAAGAAATACAAAAATCAATACTATCTTTTCCTCTGAAAATTTATTCATGAAGAATAGAAAACATGTTTATGGTGCTTAGAAAAACCAAGATTTTACATAATCTTCATGAATGTAGAAGTCATAAACCCAAGAGTTCTGGATATGAGCACGTTATCTCTAATGCAAAACAGGTTTCATCACAAAAATTCACTTCAACTGAGAAAACAAGCATGAAAAGCAATCAGCAATATATCGCCAATTTACTGTGTTCTACTGACTTGAAGAAAAGGGAATGAAGAAGCCTTGGATAAGTATATTTAGTTGCGTGATTTTTTATATACCTTAAAATAGAATTTTACTCATAACTTATTGTACTTTGACACAGTTCAGTCGGTAAGCTTAGAGCCTGTTTCATATTTAGTATCGTACAGTTTTCAGTTTGTGTATACCTCAATGTATACGTATGCGTGGCATATATATGCCTATGCAAGTATATATATATATATATATATATATATATATATATATATAATACATATATATATATATGATATATATGATATGATATGATATATATATATATATATATATATATATATATATATATATATATATCCCATCAGTATGCATGCAGTATACAAGCGGATGTGATTTTTGGCCACCTGGTGAAGAATTCGGGATGTAGTCCAAATTTCATTTAACCTTCAGTCATGTAATCTTGTCTGAGCATGTGATCAAATCCAAGTGACTATGAAGGCTACCTTAATAACTGATGAAATTGCCAATAAGTTAGCTACTTTTTATGAAAAAGTCAATCTTCTAGTCGAAATGGAGAAACTGAGCAGGTTATTTTAGCAATTGTGATGATGACCTTTAGAGTTCATCCAAATTCCACAAGCATAGCATCAGTAAAATCTCAGTCTTTTGTACCACCATCAGGAAAGGTTATTAGAAATAACGGTGTTTATAACTCACATGTAAATTTCTTTCAATTAAGTATTCAATCTCGAAGTCATCAACGTCTTCACCAAATGGATTAATTAGTGATTCTGCAACCTATTAACATGTAAAGACATAGATGACTAGTTTAAATATCCTCATTATAATAACTTGTTGTTGGTACTCAGTCATCAGAAGTGAACAGTTACAGATAGAACTTATTCGATCTAAAAAATTAATATACTTATGTTTAAGTGAACCAAACTTCACTAAGTGAATTATCCGAAAATATCATATTACATTTTTAAAATAGTTTTGTGTTTTATGTGATCCAAGTAATTGGTCCTTGTGTTCATGTCAGAAAATTGTCTATTTACGTGTGGGTGGACAGAAGGAATATGCTGCCCCATTACGGTTAGACAATGAAATACTTGAGTTCTTTATCAATTATAAAGTCAAGGTCAGGATACAAAATTATATTAATCGCAATGGGTTTAAATTTATGAGTTAAATTATCTCTTTATTCTGAGCCTATTCTGCCTTAAATTTGCAGTTGGTGATAGACAGACAGTTATGGATTAGCACAGAAGAATTGTAGCTCAAGATAAAAATGATAATTGTTTGAGGTTCTCCGAGTTTTGAGGTTTGTTTACGAAAGTTCCATTATCAAGCTAGGTGACTTAATCTGTATTCACTTCGTAAGGAAGCGAATCATATTCAAGTAGTAGGCACGTTTATGGATGATACTTGGCAACTTTGAGTACAATTAGCTTGTGGGTAGAGGTGATTATTTCTTCCCTTTACCAGAAACCTACCTTCATAATTATTGTAACTATTTGATCTATGCCACAAACCTACTGTTTGATCAGTGATTTGCTTAAGTGATTCCCAGTTAGTGGATGCCTTGGTAGTACTCCGTATATCCAGTCAATGTCCACGTGTCTGCTGATTATCATTTGATTAGAGTACCATGCTTCCAGGAATTCTCTCACACTTTTGAGGCTAAACGTTGTAGTATTTTCATGTTTTCTCAAACGAATTCATGAATACGATCATCTACATGCATCGCTATCAATGAATATATATCATCTTATCTTCTTCGCAGGGAGTCGGTTGATTTTTGGGTCACTCTGATGATGAATGCGTGCAGTTGTCGGTGAACATTTTCCGAGATACCTCCAAAACATGGTAAATAGATTCGTTTTGAGGGGTGGGGTAACTGTCTTGATCTGTTTTCTCTTGTTAGACATTTTTCGGAGGATTTATTCAAATGATAGCTAAGTGAAACTTTCGGTAAGTGAGTTGAAACTGAAACATGGACAGAATCTGAGTCTCGTAGCTCTGGTGATCGAACGCCTTGGCGTTAACTTGGAAGTCACCAATTTGAATCGTGCTGCAGCCTACAATTTAGTTCCACCCCGATCAATATGTAGTTGCATAGATGGATGATTCCTAAAGCTGTTTTTCGATAGACAAATAAACAGTCGGAAACTTCTTTTAAACTGTACTTCAAACTATGACAACATAAGGGTTTTGGAAATATTTTATTCGGTCAACTCTTATGACGCATAAAAACAATACCTCAGAACTGGGTTATATGTCATAAAATGAAACAGTTGAGCATGCTCACTGTTTTAGTTGACTGAAAATTTGAGTTGAACAGATTACTTTTGTGAAATCACAAATTCATGCAATGAAAATCTGACGGATATTTACTATCTTACTCTAATATTTTGGTGATAGGAACATTTATTGACCCATGTGAACATAATTAATTGTCTTCAAAGCAGTACACAGTGAATGATATTATTTCACCGTGTGATACATCTAGTGAGCAAACCAAAATGAAATTACAATTTACCACAGTAACCAAGTTTCACTCCTATATGAAAAATATAGCAGTAAAGGACAAGCGAAATGAGATGTCTACAAGTGTGCGATGATGAAACCCCTGAATAATCATTCATTGAATGAGGAATCCTAGCATTGATTTCAGAGTCTTGGGTGAAGGAAGCACATCTATATTCATCCAAGCACACAAGGCTTGTGTCACATAGTTGAAGTCACTACATTAAGAAGTTACAGTAAGATGAAAGCGAATTTAAAGTTTGTCGAAAAGAGTAAAATAAACTAATAATATTACTAACTTGGACCAGTTAATGAGATACACATATGTAAGCGTGTCTAATACTACCTGGTTGGTCAAACATCGGTAGGCAAAGTGATTTGAACTAGCGGTACAATAACCTTACACAGAAACGAAGAAAAGTATACAATGACTGTTTCGCAGAAGAATGATTATCCACGTAAATTCATCAAATGATATTTGTCAAATTCCTCATCAACCAAGAAGTTAGCCTTGGAAATCAACAAATGAATTGTCTTGCTTTGCATGAAGAACGTATCCAAGAACGTAACCAGATTACTGAAGCGTTCTGGGACCTCCGTAGCTCACAAGCCTACAAAATCTCTTCAATCTCTGTTATGCAGGTCAAAATATACAGTAGCAAAGGAAGACAAGCTAAACGTTGTCTACAAAATAAACTGCACAAACTGTAAAAAACACTGTCAGAGAGAGTGGTCGCCCTCCTTGCATCCATCTATGGGGACATCAGCCGGTAGTGAAGTGTTATGACACATCTTAGCTCACATCTATATATGCTGATAATTGGGGTCAGGAATTTGGCTGGGAAAATGTGGAAATCCTGGACAGAAAATGTAGAAAGGGTGCCAGAGAGTTCATAGAAGCGTGGCACTTAAGTCATTCAGAGATCAGTAGGCATATTGACATTGATCAAATCTACCAACCAATAAGAAGCACAGGAAACGAAAAGAAGGTCAATGTTCACGTCGGCAGGTCAACCAATTGAAATACTTATGAAGACAATGACAAGATTTCAGCAGAAACAAACAGTCATACTCAAGATCATCAGGAAAAGCTACTAAACCACTTACGGAGAAAATCCCATAGCTCACTTCTTTCTGAAGTTTGTGCTGAGGATTCTATTCTAGAATGACAATGAAAGCTTTATGATCAAACCATACAGCTCAGAGAACACAACACTATCAAGAAAGGGATACTGAATATTTTACGATGCAATCATAATAGACAGAGTATCCACACTACATGAACTCCAACACGACACAACTCTACATCAATTAAACATAAAACGCATATTTTTTCAAATGAAACTGAGTAACTGGTATCCGTCACAACTGGTCTTCCTCAAAAGCAATTAAACACAGAAACATAGAAATCCAGTGGATTTGGTATAACGAATCAATACCAATGAAATAATCACCCAAATTAAACAAGTACCAAATGGATATATTTCGTGCTGTCCAGAGGTAGAAAATTATGACTAGTGTAGTTAGATTTCCTAAGTAACATACTATTCTCGAACGAACTTTGCTTAGCAGCTAATAAAGAAAATTAACAGAATCTAAGCAAAGTGTTTGATTAACATTGTGTCTAAGATTTTAGAGTCCGTTTTGAACTGAAACTCACAAGGAACCAAACAGAATTTAGACCAGGATGCAATGATCAGATTTTCACTCTTCAACAGGTTTTAGAACGCAAACATACTTAGAGACGCATGGGATTTACTATATTCCTTGGTCTAAAGGAGGCATTTGATTTATCCTAACAAGAAATGTTGTAGCAGTATTTGACTATGAAGGTTGTACGGCGAAGTTATTACTCCACAAGACTCGTCACTTGAACTCACATAGTCACATGGTGGTTTATAAGAAGTTTTTCACCGGCGAGATCTAACATCCTCATAACTACTGAACTTCATTATAGATGAACCAGTCAGGGTGACCTAATTTTCTTCTAACTTTCCAGGGGTGAAATTACTGCTTAAAGATTATCTGGTTGACTTAGATTAAGGCGAACAAATCCTGTTACTCCAAGATGCTTATTAAATGAAAAGACTTTTAAAAGCTTTGACTAGAAATCTGAGTACATTCGCCATACATTTCGTGCCGCTGAAATCAAATGTAGTCCTAAAGATGTGGTCTGAACTGGCACCTATTTTAAGGATCTGTAATGAAATATTGGAATGCTTCAACTACTCCATTTTTCTGAAAAGTTACATCAGTCGTAATGATTAGTTTTCGACGAAATTTCAGCTCGCAACCAAAATACTCATTTGAAGTTTTCTAGCCCTGCAATCTCTGGCGCCAGTCAGATATACAACTGCATGTAGAAAAACAGGAAAATTGTAAAGCAGTTTGCCATATTCTGCTGCACAGCTGTAAAACAGCCTTTGAAATCAAATGACATGAGCTGGATAGTAGTTTCGCTATGACCTTACTGGTATATGCTTACACCAAAGAGAATGCAATTTTGAAGTAAGAAGTAAAAGGCTAAGGAAGCAAGGTGAGTCTTTCATTGAAGTTGTGAACGTCCACCGACTGGGTTGGCTTACAAGTGTGCTGCACATGTTAGGCTACTAAGTACTTCGACACGCCATATTAGTCGAAAAAGGATTAGGTTGGGAAGTGAAGGGTGAGTAAATACAAACAAGGCATCATTCTATGAAATTCTCAACTGTTGATCTGAGCTAACATGGCTAAGTGTAAGCCACCTGACTGAATTACTTAGTATGCTAGGAATCATTAGTTGGATAGCCTCAGTGATACGGTTTCAAGTGAGCCATAGTGGCATTGATGTTTAAACTCTTTTCATCCACAAAGTTTTGGCGTCTTTCTTAACTTTCCTTCCTGTATTCCCTCGGCTGTCGATTGAGGAAAGGTGAGCTGATGCACTTGTGCACAAGGTTCTACGTCGACTTATATATATATATATATATATATATATATATATATATATATATATATATATATATATATATATATATGCATTTCTGTTTCAAATCAAATACTGTAGGTGAAATTGCAGAAGTGAGGGAATGCTATAACAACTCGAAATATCAGGCAAAAATCTTAATTATCCTTTTAATATTCAGTGAGAAGTGAACTCACCTTAAGCCATCCAATATAAAAGAAGAAACGTAACAAACCAAAAATTGGCACATAAATATCAACATCATGACCTTCATAGTGTTTAGATGGATCCAAATACTGCCAAGCAAGTAAGCATGTACCGAAATATGCATATACAGCTATTGTAACTGTCTAGAAATTGAAATGAGAAAGACAACGGCAAAGTTATCGACATTTCTTTTACAAAAATGTATGCAGTTTAGTAGGTAAGCCAACAGACACCTATGTATCGAACGTGCTTACAACAAGTAAGCCAAACATCAAGCACTCAAAGAGTTCAAATATGTTTCAAGTGCAAAAATGCAACTGTCCAAGTCAATAATCAAACTTAACTTGTGCATACTTATAGTGAGATAAAACGTAAAAAATGTTATTGATTACAGTAACTGAATGTACCACAGGTGCACTTTGAAACTTATAAGTTCAGTTACAACTAAAAAACAAGAGAAGACCAGTCTGATAGTTCAATGCACACTTTAAAGGGTATAACTACATTTGAACTTAAAATATCAGTGAAAGCGTTACTCATAACAGAAAGATCAACACAAAAACTGGCTCAGAAGTCCATGTATTCAAGTAGCTACACTTCACAGTAGTGTATGAAGAAGAGATGAATAGAAGAAGAATGGCATTAAAGAGATAAAGTGCACAAGAGGGGAATAAATAAATAAATAAAAGTTGGTAAAATGTTCAAATTTTTGAGGATGATAAAGAATGTTTACATATCAGCCACTGTAATCAATATCTAATCATCTCACTGAGTGTCCAATAATTTATTGTTGTCTTCTAGAAGACCCGAACCGGTAGCCTATACTATTATGCAGTGTTTTCCGGTAAAGACTATTAACAGTTGTCAATTTTTGTCTTCTAATTTTCAATGAATCATCATGGCTTTGTGTGTTACTAACTACAGTTACACCATCATCATTAACAGGGAATACCAGAACTCAGTTTTTCTTTGATATATAATTGAAAAAGCTTTTTCATGTGTGTCGACAAAGAAATATGAATTCAGAAAATGAGTACTACTCGTCATTGGTAAGCACAGAGACTATTAAAAACGTGTTAAAAAAAATACACGCTTGTAGCTAAATTCAACAAGATGGACATAGTTATATACGACACGATAAACAGATTCAAAAGATGCTTACATACTTTAAAATGGTATCGTAAGTCAACAGTTAAGTTTGGTAGCTGTAACCATTTAAGCTATTTATCTCGTATAGGCTGTACTTGATAGGAAGCGGCATTTTAAGTCATCATCAACAGTTTTGGATTTCAACCTTGGTTTCATGTTACAGTGTAGGCGGAAAAACCTTAGTGAACAGTTTTTCCTTCAGCTGACCAATGAAAGTAGGTATCTGGGGAAACACTGTGTATAAACGATGTGCTTTCCGTCAAATAAAGTTGTCTTCCTTACATTCACAGGCCGTTCTTTGTCTTCTGATTTTCGTGGCGCAGTGAATTATCAGGTTATGAGGGAGAACAGTAGCTACTCGCATCCTTTCCACATATATCATTGCGTTTGTAGCGTTTCCAGTATTTAGTGTTATCCTATCAGTCACCTCGACTTGGTCACTTCAGTAGTGCAGAGTCAAAAGCTGATACGCATATAAGTAAAAATTGTCAAAGGTTGTTAGAACACATCAGGTTAACAAGTAGCAGACCACAACTGCTACCTTACTCTAGGGACTAAGCTTGCCTGCTGTGGTAACTCATTTGAGGAATTTTGGTTAAGATGCTTTTTTCTTGACGTCTTAAGTTGTCATGAAAGGCAGTTGGAGGACCATACGACAGAAACAGTTGTTATTAGATTCCAAGGGCGTTTGTACTACTTATTGCACCGCAGTGAATTGTGTAAAGGTGTTCCCCGAAGATGAACTGCATATCCAACTATAATATCTGCACACTGTCAGGAGGATACGTCATAGAACGATGAGTTTTAGTGCCAACAGTAACATTTTTCAAAGTACAAACAAATCCCAATAAAACATATCAGACATTCAGAATAAAAAAAGCTGTACGATTGATCTCAAGCAGATGTAACCTGTGCTCTGCTGTAATGTTCATAGGTGTTGAAGATCTTCAATTATAATCCAACTTCTTTCTCAAATACTTTGAGAAGTAATAATGAAGAGTAATATCATTTTAATGATTTAAAGATCCCATAGATTATTCAGAAGAATAATTTGAGCGACCAACTGTTTTTAATAACTTCTTCTTCAGACTCTCCAGTTATAAATGCATGAGAATAAGTGAAAAACAATAGCCGAAATAAGGCGTGATGTACAGTTTTTTCTATGTTGAAACAGTCAGTGTTACGATGGGTGAATGGAGATCAAATAGAATGCAGTGGTGGACTGTTATCAGTCTAGTGTGTTAACTGTGCAATCAAATCAATATTGACAGGACAATTACGAAATGAGGGGACAAAATCTACAAATAATGATTCTTTGAGGGGGTTGTGGAGATTTGGAAATATTTCAAGTTGTTATTCATCGAAGACTGACATGAGTTGGAGGAACAAAGGAAACCTGGGAGCACTGGACAGCTGTTTCGTCCTAGTATGGGACTCCTCAGCAGTGCGCACCCACGACCCCACCAGCAGGGATCGAACCCGCGACCTTCAGGTTCCGCGACCAGCGCGTTACCATTGAGCCACTGGGTCACAATCCAATGCTCCATATTTCCAACTTCTGTTAGCTCACGATATAGCGCAAACCGCCACCCAATGTCATCGTTGAGTATTTGTCCTCACGGCCATCAGGCCTTGACTCCACCGGTCACGACTTGTCATTGGAACTTCGGGAATACTTCTCGAGTGCTCCCAGGTTTCCTTTGTTCCTCCAACTCATGTCAGTCTTCGATGAATAACAACTTGAAATATTTCCAAATCTCCACAACCCCCTCAAAATTTAATTGAACTAGTGCTCGTTGGTGACTAGCTTCGAGAAGTATTCCCGAAGTTCCAATGACAAGTCGTGACCGGTGGAGTCAAAGCCTGATGGCCGTGAGGACAAATACTCAACGATGACATTGGGTGGCGGTTTGCGCTATATCGTGAGCTAACAGAAGTTGGAAATATGGAGCATTGGATTGTGACCCAGTGGCTCAATGGTAACGCGCTGGTCGCGGAACCTGAAGGTCGCGGGTTCGATCCCTGCTGGTGGGGTCGTGGGTGCGCACTGCTGAGGAGTCCCATACTAGGACGAAACAGCTGTCCAGTGCTCCCAGGTTTCCTTTGTTCCTCCAACTCATGTCAGTCTTCGATGAATAACAACTTGAAATATTTCCAAATCTCCACAACCCCCTCAAAATTTAATTGAACTAGTGCTCGTTGGTGACTAGCTTCGAGAAGTATTCCCGAAGTTCCAATGACAAGTCGTGACCGGTGGAGTCAAAGCCTGATGGCCGTGAGGACGAAATAATGATTCATTTATATACATTTATTGTGTGTGTGTTTGTTTACTTAGGATCAAATAATAATTATGTAGTGATGAGTTATCCTCAGGTGGGATGAAAATCATGTGAATACAATAACAAAATAGAGAACAACAAATGTGAAGTATTACGTCATGGTTGAAAATGATTTCAGGTTGTGGCAAGAATAATCAGAATAACAGAGATCATTGAAATGATTAAGAGCAATGATAATTTATGCTCGAAACGTAATCAATTAAATAATACTGTATCACTGTGCGCTTTATATCAAATAAACAAATCTAATACGGAACTACATTCTACCACAGTGCCCAAGTTTTTCACTTATATTAACAGAGATCATGTCTGCCAAAAATAAGCAAAACATTCTCCGCTTTCTGATTGGTCATTTGAAGGATAGTACGGATTTTCGATCCTACCAATACTACAACTGTTATAGACCTATTAATGGACATAATCGTAGATACCTCTGACTTCACAGGGATTGATCTACGCCCTGGACAGCATCTAGTTGACTTGGAGTTAGAAGATGGTATTCTCCTGCTAGGTGAAGACACTGACAAAATGAAGGGTCTTCCGAAAAGTTTGTGCAGTAATCTGAGTATGTTTGGTTAGCATGCATTTCGTACATTTCAAATGTAAGATGATGCTCCAAGACTGGTCTGCAGCTGGTCCCAGTTTAATTACAAGTGAAGTGGTGATATGTATCGACCACTTCACTTACTTGGGAAGCTGCATCAGCTTGAACCGATTGGTTGCTGACAAAATCTCAGTTTGGAATCAAAAGGCCGGTTTTGTATTTGACAACTTGAATCATCTGTGGTACCGACTGGTGGGATATCCGACTCTATCAGAGGAGGACTACACTGCGCTGCAGTTCGTTCTGTCATTTTACACGGCTGAAACATGACTTTTGAATTAGAAGATATGAGGGGGTTACAGGGTTTTGATCACAGATGTCTTCATTCATTCCTCGCGTTTGGTGGGATGTTAATGTCAGGAGAAGGGTACCAGGCAAGACAGGCAAGTCAATCGATCAGGTTGTGAACCTTTAACGAATGAGATGGCTTGTAGATGTACGACGTATGCCGAGCCAACTCGTAACTCGACGTGCCATGCTGGAGGAAGTTAAATTAGGTTGGAAGAGGGTTCAAAGTAGCGACACCAAGACCTGGCGCCAAGTGATGAAGTCCCCTACTGTTTGTCTGAGTCGTGTGGGGAGATGTAGACTGCCTGGTCCTCTATACGAAAGGAGTCAGTGGTTGAAGACTTTTAGTGAAATGTCACAAAGGCGCAGATGTATTCACCATCTGACATCTAAAGCTTGAATATCTGCACCAACTGTTATTTCCAAATTGCTTGCTATCTCAAAAAAATTTGTCGACTTTGATATCAATCCTTTTCTACCTACCTATTCTTTGTGTGCTACTATGAACTGCGACAACTCAATGCAATGCGGTTGTGTGCAAGGTTCTATGTTGATTTTTTGTCTGCCTGTCTGTTAGATTGCTATTTCATCTTTGTTAATGTTGAGTTAGAATGAAACCCACTCATGGTGATGTTCGCATGGAAAAGACTGGCATCTTCTATTAATCTACCATGCATTATGTATTTCCCAGAAACAAAACATTCCGATTTTGAATAACAGCGGCTGACTTGATTATCACAGACAAATGATAGTGACAAATTCC